CAATACCACTAGGTGTCCTCTATTACTAACTAGCACTCAGTGCGAGGCATTAAACACCAGTTTATCAGGATAAGTCGTGGGCTGTTTAAGCTGTCATTTGTATAGCCTGGCTGCACAGTTCCCATGCCATCTAAACAATGATTGTCCTTCGGGGTTATGAACCAGGGACCGTTTTTAGCTGAGAGTTGAACTGTTTTCACAGTGGTAACATTTATAATTTCAGCAAAGCTCTTGCACTGGCTTGGTTCAGATCCCAAGCAGTCAGGAGCTCCAAGTGTGGTTGATTTGAGTGTCTCTAGCTCACGCTGTCTCTCTCTCTCTCTCTCTTTTTTTCCCTCTCCATTTAAAAAGGTTATTTACAAAACACCAATCACGCATGGAAAGCAGATCAGTCTTTGGGCTTGGCTTCCTGGTGCTACTCTCCCGACTTTGTTATAGAACACATGTAAGTAATATCGGGCTTGATTCCTCTCTGTGGCAAAGCTCCCATCAGCACAAGGCAGCGTGTGTATGGGTAGGGATGGGGGCATCAGGGGGTCAGTTACAGATCGCTGCTTCTGCATGGCCTCACGGGACTGTACACCAGTGGAAGATTGGTGTAGCATAGCACAGCAACATGCCCTCACCACCCCTGCCATTCCCTCACCCTCCCCTATGCTGGGGGGGGGGCTGGCATGGGAGCCAGTTCCATGCTTTTTGGGAGTATCCCTCCATAAGGCTATTTGCAGCCAGAATGCACCCCTTTGTGCTGCCTTAATGGAAAGAGAACACCACATACTGTATGTAAGCAGCGCACCTAGCTCCGCCACATACCCCCTGCATTACACTCTGGAGATAATCACAAATGCGTGTGTCCGCCCACACACATGCGTGCACGCACTGCCGAGATGATTCCAATTTAACATGTAACTAACACCCTTCAGGCAATAGGAATCTCACCTACAATTAGAAAATATTTCCGCCGAAAGCAAACAGAACAAAGTCAATGGAACGTCGCTCATGCTTGATTAATCAATGAGGTCAAATGGAGGTTTGCATAGGAGTGAGGATGTCAGGGTTTGGCTCTCTTGTTGTTTTAAAGTGTTTTTCTTTTAACTTTGATTCATACAATCCCTCCGTACCTGAATTCTGTTTTCTTTATGAAATGCTCACCACTTTGTGAGTGTAGGGTTGCTTGTGATTGCCAGCAGTTATGCAGACACCAGTTCCATAGGAACTAGACTTTGACCACCAACTCACACAGACCACTGACTAAATGTGACTTTAGGTCACAGGCTAGGTGTGAACTGCTGACCAAGCCGTTGAGCATTCTGGGAGCCCTTTCCAACTGCCCTGTGTCATCTGCTCACACTTCAAGCAATTTACTGATACTACAGATATGCAGCTTGCTGGTGACTATGCTGACTGCATCTATATGTGGCCACAGATAGTTCTGGTCCTAACTGCGGAATAATATGCGGTCCAAATAATGTACGCCATTGATAAACAAAATCCACTGGCCCCCTCGCCCTTGCCAATTCAGAGGGTTTATAGCCACTTTTATCAAAAGTCCAATTCTGCCAGGAAACCAAAATCCAGTGTTAGAGCAGGCTGGAAAAAAGAAAACATTTCGTGAAAATTTAATCCAAAAATTGCCAATTTTGAAATTCATTTTTTTTTTTAAAAGAAAGTTTCCTCCAAGTTTTGACTAGCTCTATTCAGTGTTTCACTACATAACCTAGCTATAGAGAAGACCAGCAGTGGGGAGCTCTTCACTGATAAAGTGTCCTTTGTAGATTCCGTTGAATAGAACATCTTCAGCTTTATTTGAGTGTGACAGTCTGATTCTGCAACCTACCGAAGTGCACAGAAATAGGCATCTCATTATGTAAGGCCTCAACCCCGGGAGAAATTTACATCCCATTGTTTAGCTAATATGTCCCAGGAATAGTTTGCTGCTGCTGCCCCAGATAGCAGCCAGAATTTAGATGAAAGCTGGATTGTCACTTCTCATTTTACCTGTTTACATTTATTTTTTATTTTATGTAGGTGATGTGAAACAAGAGAGGCATATATCCTGATCGGAACAATCACGGCTAAAGCCCAGGAGTCAGGAAATGTAAGTTCTCCTCTTGACTTTGTTGTGTGACAAACTAAGCCAACACTTTCATACTTGGGTGGCCTAAGGGTAGGCATCTAATCCTTATGGGGGTGCCTAAATCAAAGTGGCCTGGTTTTCAAAGAAAAGAGATGTCTGAGGTCAATGGGAGCAGTGAGTACTCAGCAACTCTGACCATCAGACCATTTTAGGGGCCCAAACATGTATTTGGGTGCCTGGATTTAGGCACCCAAGTTTAAAAACGTTGGCCTTACTCTCTCTGTACCATATTTTCCCCATCTGATTGGGGATAATAATACTTCCTTACCACACAGGGGCTTTGTGGGGCTAGATGTTTGCAGTGTGCTCTGAGATATTCACTTAGTACCCTTGACAGCATGGGTTATATTTGTGTGATTTGCAGGATCAGGGCTCAAATTTGGGTGCAAGATTTGTGGTTAAAGCACTAAACTCGGACTGTGGAGATCTGGGTTCATCTCCTCGCTCTGTCTCAGACTTCCTTTGTGACTTTGGATAAGTCAATTAATCTCACTGTATCTTTCCCCATCTGTAAAATGAGAATGATAATACTTCATTTCTCCAACTCTTTGCCTGCCTAGATTGTAAGCATTTTGTGACAGGGGCTATCTGTTGCTATGTGTATGTGCAGATATAGCACAATGAAACCCCATCTTGGGTAGGTTCTCTAGGGTTATACACACAAGTAATCTGTGTGGGGAGGGCAAGTTGGGAGCATTCATTTTCCTAAGTAACTCTGTGTATGAACCCAAGAATTACATATCTGCTTAATAAAACATAAGGCAGACAGGCCCTGTGACAAAGTGAGAATTTTCTGAAATATTTGTATAAATCCTATGCATGCCTCAGTTTCCCTCTGCACCTTGCATTGTAAACAAGATTTAAGTCTCCTGCTGAAACCGCCCAGTAGGCATGAGGTTGTGTGTCACCTAGCTCTCTGCTTGGAAGGAATAGGGCCGTTACAGAACTGGCTGAAACCAACCCCTAATCAACAGAGGATCCAGAAAGCCCCAAAGACTGAACAATCAACACCAACCAGCAGGAAACCCCAGCAGGTGGTACTTGGGAACTGAGCAGGAGACAGAGGAGGTCAGGGATGGGGAGAGAGGAGTCCATCACAGCTTAATAGCACTGGCTTGGCCAGGGTGGACGGTGGCTTGACTTCTGCCTCACTTTGCTGACCTAAGGACTTCCCGATTCTGCCTGTCAGGTGATTAATAAACGGTTACCTTGTTTGGAAAAGGCTGCCTGTGTCACTGCAAGTATAGAGAGCACTGCAACCTGAAAGCTACAGTAACAGCCTCCCGCAGGAGTCTGACTTGGCTGGATTTGCAGCAAGGAGCCATGGAGAGAAACAGGGTTTGCTGGTGCCAAAGGTCCAATCTCAGAGTCTTGGAGGCCATGAGCCTGCCCCTGTGGAATTGTGGGTCCTTGGGGCATGTCATATTAGTGGGGAGAGATAGCTCAGTGGTTTGAGCATTGGCCTGTTAAATCCAGGGTTGTAAGTTCAATCCTTGAGGGGGCCACTTAGGGATCTGGGGCAAAATCAGTACTTGGTCCTGCTAGTGAAGGCAGGGGACTGGACTCAATGACCTTTCAAGGTCCACTCTAGGAGATAGGATATCTCCATTAATTTAGTGGCACTCCCAGGAGACTGGTTAAAGGCTAGGCATAGACCAAACCCTTGTAACTCAGTGACAGGCCCTGACTCAGCAAGATACTTAAGTATCTAACCTCAAGTCAAGGACACTACTCAGCTACTTAAAGTTAGGTGCAGGGTTAAGTATCTTGATGAACTGTGGCCCAAGATACTACCGTATTAAGGGCGGTATCAGAGCCTGATCCTACAAACCCTTATTCACACAAGTCCTCTTCACTGATGCAACAAATCTCAGCATCTTTAATAGGACCAGGCAAGTGAAAAAGACTACTCGGGTGTGATGGGGTTTACAGGACCCGGATCTCCACTTTCCAGGAACACAGTAGTTGGCTGAGGTTGGCAGCATTCAGCACTATGGGTATAATGAGGATGTGACACAATAGGGTGACCAGACAGCAAGTGTGAAAAATCAGGACAGGGGCGGGGGGGGGGGTAAAGGAGCCTATATAAGAAAAAGACCCCAAAATTGGGACTGTCCCTATAAAATCGGGACATCCGGTCACCCTGTGACACAACCGGTTGATTTGGTTTCTCAGCCCCAGACAAATAGGTAGGTCAGGGTTACCGAAAGGTTAATATCCCTGCCACTCCGGTCAGCAGGGGCCCCACTATATTAAATAAAACTTCAGTGTCTGTGATCAACTTGCTAAGTTTAAAAAAATTCTTAACTCTACAAGATCTTGTTCTGGTGAACCAGGCACTGTTCCATCAGAGCACCTGCTGTGAATTCAGAGTGGTGTTTCAGACTGTGCTCAATAAATAATCATTTCTTTTGTGCTGCCACGAGGTAGAAAATTCTTAGGGCTCACAACATCCATCCGCTTCATGTATCTGACAAAACCGGTGAACAAGCCCGTGTGTAAATGGCTCTGTCTGGATTCTGGATGACTAATGAAATGGTCTCACACTCCAGAAACGCCTTAAGGTCCCACTGCCAAATGTCCCACCCCTCAGTCCACCTTAAAGCCAAGTCATTGGAGTACACTAGGCGGACTAGTCCATTTCTCAAAGGGAGGGTCCGTTGCTTTTTCTGATCCCGATCTAAAGAGCAACTTTGCCCCTCGGGACGAGACTGGCCCCAGTGGGGAAGGGTTGGCGGCTCTGAAGCACCCAGCCTGTTTTCAGAAGACCCCAAACAGCTGATATTTGGCCCGCCTCATTAGAAACGAACCCACCCAGCCTCCCCCTTTAGAGCCGTTCTATTTTTAGCCGCAGATCTTGCAATATAAAGAATGGTTGGAGTGTCAATCTGCCTGCAGAGAGGCTGCTGCCGCTTTAAGGGCAGCTGGGGCAATTAGACTGAAAGGGATGATGGTGGGGGTTTAATGAGCCTCCCTTCTCAGGCACTGCTGGGTCTCCAAAGGCATGGGGATCCTGTAGGAGAGGCAGGAGCAGTGGATCCAGACAGGGCACTTTCCCTGGGACAGGACAAGACTTGGGTCTGCCTGGTGAGTGTAATGGACTGGGATCGTTGAGTGTTGTACTGGATTGCTGTGAGCACTTGCATTGTGATAGAAGGCTTGGCTTGTCAGCTGGGCTTGTGCAGACTGAACTGACAGCTGATTCTTTACCTCGTGTTGGAAGGCAGGGGGGCTGGTGCGTGTAGCTTTCTTTTAATCCTTCTCCATGTAGGATCGTGTAAAATGGACAGACCTGTTGTGATCCACTCCTGTATTGAGTCTGAAGAGGGGGGTGTGTGTGTGAAACGTGTCATGAACAAACTTGCTGTTTAGAAGCAACAACAAGTTGAAGTTCCCCTTGCAGTTCTGTGGGTGGGGGTTAAAACACTTTCTTTTTAAAAAGAGAAGTGAGCTGAGGTTTGAAAGGACAGTGAAGCATTACAGCTCTGTTGGGAGATGAAATGTTTCTTAACTGTCTAAAGATGCTTTTCTTTCTAAAACACCCAATACTTTCCAGCTCAAACTTTGTTGTAGTGTGTGGCACTCTCCTTTATTTTCTGTTACTTCTAGCAAGACATGGTCACTATGGACACTTTTCCCTTGAGTCTGTATGAGCCACGTTTCATAGACTCCTCCATGGAGAGAGATTCCTGGGCCACATCACTTTCTCTTTTTCTACAGTCAGTGTCAGAAAGAAACGACTTATCCACAATAGTGATTTTTGGAGGCAACAACAAGGGTCACCTTCTCAAAAACATTTCAGGGGTGCTGGAACTAGGGCTGCTGGAGTGTGGCAGCACCCCCTGGCTTGAAGTGGTTTCCATCATATACAGGGTTTACAATTTGGTTCAGTGGCTCTCAACACCCCAACTATACAAATTGTTCCAACACCACTGAACATTTGCTACTTTCTTTTTTCCATTGATGTGATCCTTTTTTAAGTATTATTATTTATTTTTAAAGGTATGTGCCTAGTGGGTCTGATTATCTGTAATGAAAATTCAAAGATAGTGCCCAAAGTATAGAGGGGCAGGGCAGGGGGAGATTCTTAGTGATAATCTGTAAATTAAATACCTTCTTTTATTAAGTGTCTGTCTCTCTCTCTCTCTCTCTCACACACAAGAGTGAACCAGTAAGTTCAGGGTTACATTTTTTTTCAAAGCTGCCTAGGCGGTTTGGATGCCTATGTATCATTAACTTTAATGGGATGTAGATGTCTAGATCTCTGAAATTCCCCGCTTCATTGTCTTTTATATTAAGCTGGTTTTGGACTACAGCATATATTTGAAAGCTGCCTGGGAAGTGGAGCCTTTCATTTTGTATTTTGGTTCTAGAGCCCAGAGTAGTTTGCTAGACTTCTAAATGGGATCTGTACATACAGAAGCTTCTGTCTTAGAGATAATGGAAACATTTTGTTACCAAAGACAATGCAAAATATATTTAATAAGACAACTAATTGGCTTTACCTCTTATTTGCCTTGGGACAAAGTTTTAGAAACTTGTGGCGAATCTGAAAACTCCCCAACTACTTCAACTTGTATCTGTGACCACTGGTGTTGTGAATTAGTAATGATACTTTCCACCAAGAACTTTACTTTGCAAAAGTAGTAAATCCCCATTTTACAGACTGAGAAACTGAGGCACAGAGAAGTTAACTGACCATCTCAAGATGAGGCAGGAAAGGTTAGTGCTGGAATTGGAACCCAGGATGGCTGACTCCCCATCCTGTTCTCTAATCATCAGGTCATGCCGTGCAGCAGAAAAAGTCTGATTTATTAACAGTCAGTGTTACTCTAATGATTTTATATATAAATTTCCAACAGTTCCAGGGTGAAAGATGGAAACTTTAGACTGTAAGCTTTTGTGTATACGGTCTGTAGCACAATGAGACCCTGGCTGAGGCCTCAAGGAACTACTGCAATGCAAATAAATAACATCAATCCTGGAGCATTGCTCTGTGAAAAGTCAGTTGGCCAAAATTTTCAACTTTAGTTACCTAACATTAAGTATCTTGGCCATTTGCTACCGGGTCTCATTTAAGGTTACAGTTTTAATACCAGGCTTATTACAACTTTTAAGGGGCAGCATCAACTGGAAAACCATATTTGTCTGATCTGGAAAATATCGTTCATACAATAGCTACAAGTAACAACTAATGCACCAATCTTGCGGTCAGAACTGTGCCGCTGAATGTTTATTTGCGGAGTGCACCACTGACGTCAATGACCCTGCATAGGAGCAAGGAGCTGTCCACACCAATCTGATTGCAGGATTGGGGCCTGGGATTGCAATAATTGGTTTTCTCTATTTATTTTTTTACATGAATTTGGAAGTGCGCTCCCCCTTTGTGTTGCCTCGAACCTGAAGCCCATTTTGCACAGGAGACACCATTGCAAAAGCAGGCCTCGATCAATTTGTCCCTTGATAGAAAGACTCTTTGGATGAAAAGACCCTTTGCAGAGGAAATAAAAAACATATTAATTTAAAAAAAAATCTAGCTCATGCTGTTTAATGGGCTCTCAACAAAAAAGCTGGATTCCTTTCTCCGTTACTCAGTTCCCAAAACCTAAAGCAGACCATGTCCATCTAAATAATGGTGCAAAAATGGGAGAGAGAGAGAGGCCTGTTCAGCACCAGCTATTATTCATAACTCTTCCTTTCATTATTTGACTTTCTTCTTCCTTCGCTCCAGTCCATCCCACAAAATACCATGTGTAGCCTGACTATGCAAAGTTTGGGCTAAATTCATCTCGGGCGTGACTGCACTAAAGTCAACGGTGCCCACTTTTCTGGAATGATGTGAAAGGCAGTTTGTATTTATTGGAGCATTTGGTGGGGGTTTTCACAAGCTCAAGATTTTGACAGAAGTAATTAAAAAAACAAAGCTTTCCTTTTTCATGAGGTGTTTTGTTTTTTTTTTAAACAGGGACTGAACCTAGCAAAAGCAGGGAGGAAAAACTGGCAGTGCAACCAAAAGATATTTTTTCCTCTTGGCACTGGAAAAGATACATTGACATTTTGGGGGTGGAGGGAGGGGGGAGCGAGAGAGAGAGATGAACGGTTTTTAAAATAAAACCTGAAGGAGAAGATGTTTTACTCTTCCAAATTGGCAGGACTGCTGCCCCATACCTGCACTAGTGCTGTAACTGGCACTGAAGCAATTGATGTAAGTCCAAGTGAATGTAGTGCAAATGAGTGTAATGAATCATTACAACTGGCATCTTGCCCTAGATTCCCTTGCACTCTGGCACAAAATACAGAGATGGTTTTATACACCGGGGATAACTTTCACATCTATTTCAAACCACAGAGTATTCTGGGGTGATCTGAGGCGTCCCACTCACGCCTAGCAGGGCTTACACTCCGCTCTGCTGATAATTCTGTTTGCACGGTCCGTTTTGGAGGTCTTTGTGAGGGTGGTGAGGGAACTTGTGGTGTTTGCTGTGTCTGTCCTTTTTCTTTTCTTTTTCTCTTTCCTTTGCTTTCTTTTATTTTCCTGCCTCCCTATAGTGGGGGTCAGCACAAGGCCCTAGGCATCACCTAAACTCTCAAAATCGTGCCTTTGCATTGGCTCAGTGCATAGGGATGCATTGCATGCTAAATAAGACAGGAAGTGAAGCCAAGTCTCCTGAGTCATAATTCAGTGCTTTAACCACCGGCCCAGCCGTCCTCTTAAAACAGCCCATCTTTCCTCAGAATGTGATGTTCTGTGGATTTTATCTAATTGGTCTAGCCCGCTTGTGTGAGGTTCGCTCCACTGGTTCCGGCCATGGGAAACAAGAAGAAACTCTCCAAGAGTTGGACCGTCTCTCCAGTCTAGCCTGCTTTCTTGCACCCAAGAGCTCTGCCATCCTGAAGAAAGAAGGGTGGGTCTCAGGAGGAAGGCTGTGTTTTGTGATTAAAACACTGGATTATGACTCAAGAGACTTGGTTCCACTTCCTTCCTCTGCCACAGACTTTCACTGTGACCTTGGCTAACTCATTTGATTTCTCTGTGCCTTATTTCCCCAGCTTCTGCTTGCATGGTACGTCTTTCTCTGTCTTGTCTATTTCGATTGCAGGGAGGAAGGGATTATCTTTTCCTATGTATACATGCAGCCCCTAGTACAGTGGGGCCTCTTGACACAACTGTAACAAAAATAATATTAATGAGGCCACAATAACAATGACATGAGACGAGTGTCTTCAGAAGCCACTCTGTAATGACAAAGTATATAGGGGGCAGTGGGAAAGAGACTCTGATAAGGAATTCATTTTCAAGTCTCCAGGAGGTTATTATAAACTGGACCGAGAAAGAGAAATGATCTTAAAATTTATGGACACATACCTTGAAAGTGGCCTTTTAAAAATCCAAGTTGTTATTCTCCGTGTCTAAGGCACTGAAAAGTTAATGAAATATAGAGCACGGGGGATTTGGAGAATTCAAACGAACTGAAAACAGAACTGGCATGAAATCAGCAGATGGGAGGAACATACGCTGCTCGGCTTAGGGGCGATGGCACTTCTTGCTGCTACTGCAGTTGAGAACAGAGAAGATCCTTGGGAGGAGAGAACACAACCGTGCTGCCATCCTCAAATGTCACCACCACAGACTAGCTAGAGGAAAAACACAGCGAAGGGGAAAATCCAAGATTGAGACAGAGGCAGCCAACATCTGTGTGTCGATTGTGCTTGGGTACGTCAATGTAAATCCAGAGTAACTCCATTGGCTTCAGCAGCTTTTACAATACGCTTGGCCATACAGAGCTTTCCAAACAGAAGGGAGCAATAGATTGATACAAAGGCCAGAAGGGACCGTTGTGATCATCTAGTTCGACTCCTGCATAACACAGGCCAGAGAACTTCGCCAAAATAATTCCTCTTTGGTTTTAAGATTTATGGCTCTCTGATTAGCTGTTTTAGAATCAAATGAAGTGGTCGCTACGTATGGGCAAATATTGGTGAGGGAGTGATATGGAGGGAAAATCTGCATGGGGACATGACTGTCTAGCTGTCCGCTGCCAGGTGGTGATGAAATAACTATGATGGAATGATGAGATCCAGTGAGA